AGGTGTGCTACTTCCGCATTCACTATCGTCGTGGTCCGTGCTCGAAAGCGCGGGGGATGGCGAATGAATTGAAGTGTATGGCCCTGCTTTATTGTGCTCAGCACCCATTCTGAAATCCCTGGGACAGTTTCCCACGCAGCTATGTGAGCCGCCAGGGGGCGAATGGCCTCCGGGTTCAGATCGCCGCCATTTGCGGGCTTGTGAAACTGAACCGGAGCCGAAAGCGCGGCGCGCGGACTCTCGGTTCTGGGCAATGGCTGCTCGCTGAAAAGCCGAAACTGGCTGATTTATGTGAGATGTCCCAATCATAAGGGATGGGGAACATTTTCTTTTCACTGTTTGACGCGTGAGCAGCGCTCCGGGCGGAAAAGCTTCATGTAAGCGTGAGCGCGTGTGCGCGGGCACGAGACTTACAAGTGTATTTGACGCCCCGATCGTAATGGATGGGGAGCGTCTTATTAATGCCCTGCGTTTTGTGATAACACTTAAACGCGCGGGCGGCGCCTGGGGGGAGGTTTGTGTTAGTAAGCGTGAACGCTCTCTAGCGGGCACGAGACTTACATTCATAACCTGCTTTTTTGATCGTGTTTTGATGAGGCTGTTCTGGCCGTGTGACAGAGCGGGCAGAAAAATAGGCGTGAGCACAGAGTTGTGGGCACGTTTCCTACATCTAGCACTCGAGCGGCACAGATGTGGGCACAGACCTTTTCTACACTCAAGACACCAACGGCGTGAGCCGGATAACCAGACATTATACTCACTTGAGATTTCTCTGGGTCGCCGTGAGAACGGCGGATGTGTGCAGGCGAGCGGGTTGCATTACCGGCTCGTTGGCTGCCAAATACACCACTGCAGTAGCCTTATCTAAGGGAACTGACAGGGCGAGACATTTCGACGGCGGCGCGCAAGCCCGTCCGGGTCATGCAGAGAGCTCGAGAGGGCTCTGCATGACGCTGCGAACGGGAACGCGAGGGCGGGGTAGCTCTCTTGTAGCGTAAAGAGAACTAGCCGCGTGCTCGTTGGTCGAGCAGAACTGTATAAAAAATTTTGCTTTTACCACGCATCCAGTACATCGCGTATGTTGATGCCCGTCCGGGTCATGCAGAGAGCTCGAGAGGGCTCTGCATGACGTGCGAACGGCGACGCGAGGGCGGGGTAGCTCTCTTGTAACGTAAAGAGAGCTAGCCGCGGTCTGATGCCAGGATGGAGCAGCAGTCTCTCGTGGCGTGTCCCTTGGCCTCATCCTCAGATGCGACGGCAGTGAGGCTCGTGAGCGGCAGCTGCGCGTCGGTGAGGGGAGGCGGGGAAGGCGAAAGCGAGGCTCGAGGGAGGTTCTCCGGCGAGCGCGTCGCTGTGGCCATGGGTTCCGGCTGTCTCAGGGAACGGCGCTTCTTCCTACGTGCTCCCACAGAAGGCGGGGTGACTGCTTCGGGGTTGAAGGCTTCGAGTCGAGCCCGCAGGGTCGACAGCGGAAGCGCTTCACAGAGCTCGCAGCCCCCGGACGCAAGGGCGAGCTCTGCATTTTCCAGGCCCAGGCAGAGAGCGCAGATCACATGGCGGTCTCCGACGCTGAGCGGGGCCCTACACGAGCCGCAGGAAGTGCGAGGCATCTTTAAAAAGACACTCGTGCTCTTTTAGGAATAGGTTTTGCAAGGTAAAAGGATACGTCGCCGGATAGCGTAGCTCGCACGGATGGCTGAAGGTGGCGAAGACGGCCGGCTTCCTCAGCGCTGTCCTAAGCTGGCTGTTCGCTGTTCGACGGCGGCGGTGGCTTCTCTCAGATCCAGCGATGCGAAGAGCTCGCTGAAGAGACGAAAATCAGGGAATTTAGCCTACAAGTGTTCACTTAAAACTGAAGATTTTGCAGTGCATGGGGTTAAAAGTGTTAAATGTGTCAAATAAAAAAAAAATAGAGTGAAGCACAATTTAATGGTAATCAACTGTAAATTAATTTATGGCATCAAACTGTAGAAAAACAGCAATTTACTGGCAACCACAGCTGCCAGTAGATTACCGTAAAATCTGTAAATTGTAAACCGTAACTGTCAGATTTACCAAATGATATATTAGAGAAAGTTCATAAAAAAAAGTTATGCAAAGTCAATAACTAAAGAGGAGAGTATTAAACTAATATGTGTTTTGCACAAGATGATATAGGAGAGATCTGTTAGTTTAATTAATTAGTTTTGGGGGTCACCATTGTGCTGGAGAGTAGAGCCTGTGCTTCAGTCAATGATGAACAGAGAAATGCTGATGTTTTACTGCCTGTTGCTTTATTTAAAGGCTGTAAGTGTGTAGTTGCTGATGCAGACTTAAACAGCCTAAACTAACTATCCTACCACATAATAACTTTTTATAGCATATATTTTAAAAATATATCAAAACATCATATGTTGGTGAGCAACATATGAGCAACTCACTGTGTTACTATGTCTGTTGTTATGCATTCATAATAAATTCATGCTGCTGTTTGTGCTTCATTTATTGTTTGATCATCAAGTGAGTGTACCACACTCTGCTCAGCTTACTTCAGTGAGTGTAAAAAGTGGTTAAATGACACAAAAATGATAAAATAAGTCAATTTGATCATTTATGCTATTTTAAAAAATAATATTAAACGTATGTACACATGCACGTTTAGTTTAATTGGGTTGGGGTGTTGTGGGGAAAAAATGCTATAGGGGTGCCATGCTTTCAAAAGGTTTGGGAACAACTGCAATAGTATTCACTATTGTTTGCAGTTTTATATTAAGAACATTTTCAAAATATTTTCAGTGGACTCAAATCAAGTAAGTTAAAAGTAGGCCTATCCTATCTGTATAATAGTATCTCTGTATAACTATCTTATTTTTAAACTTGAACTGTTTGAAGCAATCGGTTTCCCAAATGATATGAGTTACCTTTGATTGTATTATTACGGTAACATACTGTAAAAAAGAGGACTGTAAATTAACAGTAGAGGGCTGTAAATGAGCAGTACATTGCTGGCAACCACAGCTGCCAGTAGATCATGTTATTTTACAGCACCATTTTTTACAGTGGTTGCCTTAAAATTTGAGTTCATTGAAACTAAAAATTTGAAGTTAGAAATTTGATATTAGGCTATGTTATCTGAACCACATTAATTATCTAACTTTATTTGACAAAAGAAAAAAAAGTTGTGATAAATCATTAAAATATATACATTTTTTACAGTTGGCATTACACATCTTCTCAGTTCTCATGCATGCGTTGTGGCGCTCTCGTGAACTCACGTCAGAGGCCCACACAGAAGAAAATGAGTAGTTGAATAGTAGTCACTTGACTTGGACTATTTTAACGAGGTCTTTACTAACTTTACTGGGCTGGCAGATGCAGTGATACAGCTTTCAGATTTCATCAAAAATATCTTAATTTGTGTTCGAAAAGGAAACGAAAAGTCTTACGGGGTTGGAACAACATGAGGGTGAGTAATTACTGACACCATTTTTCATTTTTGGGTTAACTAACCCTTTAATTTTATGTCAGAATCACAAGGAAGACAATGCAAGCAGTATTTGTATACAACTTGGCACTTCAAAAACGCCTTGAAAGGCATCTCTTTATAATTTGTGTTGCTCGAGTAGGCTAATCCTGCATTGTGTCTCTCTCATATGTACTATAGCTACATGACGTGCGAATCATGCCAGGGGCCATAAAGCTGAGGCAGGGGCGCGGGAAGATGTTTAAGGTGGGGTGAGGTGAGGTGTGGTGGGGGGCACCACTTTTAAACAATATCAAGTCTATAAAACTCGTCAAAATATCGGTGAGAATACTCCTTTAAACAGCAGACACACACCCGAACTTGATTGCACATCACATTTTTGACATTATTGATACGGCTTTCAATCGTAATGCAACGGACCCGTCTACGGGACATAAATTAAGCCTTTACATAAAACGGTTATTTGGCTTACACTGCCAGAGCCACAGCAACAGGAAATAGAAATGAACACAAAAAACTGTCTAGTGCCTACCTTACACAACACTGACGGTTGACTTGCGCTCAGGAGTAGCGGTTGCGGACGAATTTCTTTTCTTTTTCTTCTTCTTTTTTTTTCAGCGGCTGCGACGAATTCTTTCTGCGCACCCCCACTTCCCTGCCCCTTAGCTGAGGCCACGAGGGGTTGACACCCAAAAACAATCCATTGCAAATGTAAAATAGATGTAGTTAGATTCTGCCAATAATATAAAACCAAGAGTTGATCAATTAAAAATGAACAGCAACAAATGATCAATTAAAAATTCACAATTATATATATATATATATATATATATATATATGAGCAATACATTCGTTAACGTAATTTATTAATCTTTGTTAATGTTAAAGTGAATATTATGCTATTAATTGTTAGATCACTGTCTGTAATATTAACATATACAACTTTTAATTTGAATAGTAGTATATGTTGATATTAACTAATATCAATAATGGCTTTTTAAGTGTGTAAGTTCATGTTATAACTAATACAGTTAAAAATGTTAACAAATAGAACCTGGCGTGAAGTGTTACTGTTACATCTATGTAGTTCAATTTATATTTTCAGACTTATAACTATATAATTATATTTACATTTATATTCAACTACATTTTCAGATGTATTGAAATTGTGAACAGATGGCATGAATTACATTCTACAATTTCAAATGTCTAAAATGTGAAACTCATCCACCAAATGAATGTTTCCTTTATCTTCTTCAGAGAAATGTATCACTGAGTCAAACTAATAGATCACTCATTGTGTCTTGAGTTGCTGAAGGAAACCACAATGGTCCTGGACTTTGGTTTCAGATGTATCGATAGAATCTTCATGAAAATTAAATATTAACTTTCCTCCGGTGCTCAGGCCTTTGAATGAGTCTGCTCACATCACGTTACGCTTAGAAGTTTTTATAATTGTTTTCAGTGGTTATTCCGGCAATTCTGAACACGATTCTGGCTTCTTACACCTGTGCATCTCAATAAACACATAAGCTCCAAAATTCATTAATTTTTATTACAATGAAGACAGAAAACATTAAATTAATATATTACAGAGTATACACCACGGCAACAATATCAATATTAAATAAAATATCTTACCTTCTCCCAGACAAAAATATATATATTTTAACTTACAAGAAAATCAAATACATAGTAAGACCATTTATAAAACTTATTTTTGGAGTTTGGTAGATAAGAGACAGCTTAAAAATGGCACTGAAAAAGACTTTGCATTGATTTGATCATAATGTATCAGAAGACTTTACAGGAAACATACAACAGAGTGGACTAGAACTTCGTATTATTCGTTGAAACTGTTACTCTGTAATATGTCAAAGATATAAAGGAAGAACATGCGGTTTTGAACAAGTAAACATTGTTAAATGTACAGTAAAGGCTGCTAGACATGTGTTAAATCAGATACTGTAGTAGCTAAGAATGATTTGACAAAAAAACAAGGACATGATTATATGAATGATTAGTTTTGGTCGTGGGTTTAATGAAAGTCAGTTTGGGTGCTAAACACAATATTATATTAATTAAAAATTACAGAATTTTTTTTATTGTATTGTACTTCCTGCCATCAAATCAAAGTACAATAAGGATGAAAAGGGTTTTTGTTGAGGATATTATAAGGAAGTATTGTGTGTTTCAAGAGGAACTTTGTAACCTCTTACAGTCTGATTAATCACATTTAGCTTGATGTTACTGATAAGGTAACATTTCTGTCCACAGAACACAGGTCTAATATCCTTAACAGAGTTAGATGATACTGATGTGATCTTTAACCAAAGAAACCATGGAAAAAGACGCAGACGGTGAGGAGGATAACAGCGTTAGCGTTGACCACGTTTCTCCATAGAGGTTTTTCAGTGGTGTCGGTGAGCTTCAACTTCATCTCCGCCTCCTGTTCTTTAGTCAGTTTAGGGGCATTGCCTTGGTCAAAGCCACAGAACCAGTTGTAGGCCTTCTTACAACAGCCGGGCTCCTCACGCACCTCTGCAGGGTCAAGAGATGAACGGAAATGGTTGCTATTGGTTATTAAAAGCTAATATGTTACATGTGCAATGTGATTTACACAAATAAGACATGTTTCTGGGCCAACATCCTTTGTTTTCCTTGAACAAACTACAATATAGTCAATTAATCATAGCCATAAACTAGTCTCAGCATCAGACGGCCCACCCACAGACACCCAGAGTCCGTTTACTGAACCACATGATGCACGTTGCACACAAAAGCGGTGAGTGTTACCTGTGCTACCCATCAATGATTATGAATTTGGTGGCTTATGCAGACGTACCTTCTGTTTCCATAGAGTTGGAATCCTGTTCATCAGTCCAGTCATCTGCCTCCAGATCTATCCTCTCCTCAGTGTTGTTCCTCAAGCTCCAGCAGAGCCTGTACAGCTGCACAACAAGGGGCCACAGAATGAGGGGCCGTGACAGAGAAGTAGCTTTTTTATAGATACAAAATACAGCTACAGTATAGATTGCTTCATGTCTGTCTGACTGTCTGTCAATTGATCAACTTAATGCTTCTTTTCTAAATAAAAGTAATAATTTATTTAAAAAGAAAAAAATATTTTCTTCCCAAACTTTTGAACTGTAGTATAATGTTATAGTATACAGTACATATAATATGTGTATTTCAAGTAAAATAAGAATATTTAATATAAAAAAAAAAGAAAAGAAAAAAAAGAGAGGAAAATATGGTACAGAAGCATGATTAAGAACACTGTATAGTGTTGTTATGATAAGAGCTTACATGTTTGTCGTCAATGGGTTTGGTCACGAGGGAGATGCCCAGTATCAATATACAGGACAGGCTGAAGAGGATCATTCCAAAATAGAGGTAGTGCACACCACAGATGATCGTGGGACAGTTACTGGGGCTCACGCAGCTGCCCGTGCCATAGGCAAATTCGGTTATCATACGCGCCAGACCCACCAACAGACCAATACACAACCCGTAGAAAGCACCCTGTGAGGGAATATCAACACTATGTGTCAAGACTTTGAGCGGTTTTGAGGGATTTTTTTTTTTTTTTTTAATATCAAGCTGAATTTAACAAGAAAAAAACTCACTGGTTCATTTACTCTCTTGCAGAAAATGGCGAGGGAGAAGACAGCGGCGATGGGTGGAGCCAGAAAACTGGTGATGGACTGAATGTAGTCGAAAAGCTGGCCGCTCTGAGCTGACTGAACTATGGGGATCCACGCAATACTCACGCCGATCAGAAACAGCATGAACAACCTGTATGCATGAACACAGGCATCTCAGAGCTTATTCACATCATTTTTTGCTCACACAAGGTCAGAAAATCAATATGCAACGCACCTCCCAGCAAACATGAGCTCCTTCTCTTTGGCTTTGGGACGGATCTTGGTGTAGATGTCCATGGTGAAGAGTGTGCTAGCGCTGTTAAAGATGGAAGTGAGTGAACTCATCAGAGAGGCCAGCATGACAGACAACATCAAGCCTCTGAGACCTTCAAGAACACACAGAGCAGGTTAGACCCATAACACAGATCTATCAAAGCATGTAAAGAGACAGAACTAGAAATATCAGGATATTACCGTTTGGCATCAGGTCCACCACTAGTTTAGGATAAGCAATATTACTGCAGCCCACACTGGCTCCACAATAAAAGTCACACTCTTTTGGATCCACACATGCAATCTCATCTAACACAAACAAGAGAATACACACAAACATTAGTTTCACTAATAGTCTTTGACTGTTCACTGACCTTCTGATGCACATTGCATACAAAATGTGACAAAAATGGGTGCGCATTACTTTTGGATTGACAGAATTTCTTATCACAAAGTCCACATACCATTTCCACAAAATAGAATTGTTGTGGAATCATGATTTTCAGTTTTACCCTTCCTGAAATGTCCCATCAAACAATGCTATTTATTAATATTTTTAACTTTTATTTTTATATGATCAGTTTAGTTGAGGTACGATATTAAAAACATATTAAAGAACCAATTAAAACTTGCAAATCACTAGTAGTATTTATATAGTAACATAGTATTTATTAATATTTTGAATTACCTTTTATTGTCATTTTAAGTTTTTGTCATGTGCTTTTGTCATTTTTATTTTTATTTTTATATTTATATTTAGCTTTAATTTTTTATTTCAGTTTTAGTAATTATAGTATTTCAACTTAAACTTATTTTATTTCAGTTACAACATTTAAGAAAAAATGTACTGTATAAAAAAGTTTTTCATCTAATTTTAATTTATGTCAGCTTCACTTAAAAATGAATAACATTTGTGTAGTTTTAGTTAACAACACTGTGTCAAACAAAACAAACTGCGTTTGGTTTTTTAAAGTGTAAGTCAGACACTTGACCGCGTTTCCCGTACAGCGATGTAACTCACTGCTTAACTAGTACAATGCATCATTGAAGAAATGAACTAGCTAGTCACGACGCAAATTTGTCGTTCAACCATGTTGGTTAATGATGTCATGCAGGTGGTGGAGTAATAACTTCTTTTAACTAATCCGTTTGAGATCGAGTTAATGCTTGATTTTTTGCTAAAATTACAGACATGGCAATTCTCATTTTTTTTCTAAAATTACAGACATGGCAATTCTTATTTTTTTCTCAGTTATTTTGCTTTATTTTCAATCATAGGGTCGTTCTCACGTACTAGAGCACATATGCACATGCACACTCTTCAAAAATGGCACTTTAAATCTGACAAACTAAAAGACATAACAATGTATATATATACATTCAAAATAAAATATATAGATTGCATTGAATGTCAGCTTGCTTATTTTGCTCAAGATAATGATTTATTAAGCCCACATGTCATTAAAAACAAGAAACTCTGCTTCTAAGCACAAGTCGAGAGCTGTTCCCTTTCGAGGGAACTCCAACTGCGTCGAATGACACTTTGGGGGAACGCCCCTCAGCGTAGCGCCTCTGAAGCATGAATGAAACTGAGCCAATCTCCGATTGGTGCAACGTCATGACGTGATGTGTGACGACACATAGGCGGAACTATAAAGGGACGCCGGCAAAACAAAATGTCAGCTTTCTGTTCTTCAGCAAGCGCTATCTGTGACTGTGTGTCTTATTTACTGTTGTTTGTCAAAAAACTGAGTATCCCTGGTGAAATGGCGAGTGCGAGTTTCAGGAAGTGTGTGCATCCTTGTCCTCGTTACATCACGGGCGGGGACACACACCGACTGTGCACGCACTGTCTCGGAATGCAGCATGCGCAGGCAGCTCTCGAGGGGGCTACTTGCGAGGAATGCGAGAGAATGACAATCCGTGTGCTGCGTTCCCGGCTGGCTATCTTTGATGAAGATGGCCAGCCTCGCGAGCCCCGTGGTGCGGGACCCGCGTCCGCTGAGGTGGCGCGGCGACGCTCTTCATGGGGCTCGCAAATGGATCTGTCCGGGGATCCCGAGGCTGCTAAGGCACCTTCTCGGGATTCATCGGGCAGTTCCGATGTCCTCGAGCCTCGCGCAGGAGCCCGCCCCGCGGCTTCTTCTGCGCGAGTCGAGGATCCGATGCTTGAGCTGTCTGCCTCTGAGGAGGTAGACGTGCTCAGCATCGAGGGCGGGGATTTCGGGGACGACTCGCCGCCCCGTATCCCCGCGTATGAGGAGTTGGTGGAGGTTGTTTCCCGTGCAGTGGCCCATTTAAATATCAGCTGGCCACAAGAAAGGCAGGAAGCGCAGACTAAAAGTAAACTGGATGAGCGCTTCCTGCAGCACAGGGAACAACCTCATCACCAGGGCTTGCCGTTCTTTCCCGATTTGCACAACGAGTTGTGTAAATCGTGGGAAAAAAACACATTCTTCTCGTGTCTCCAATCCCCTTCTCCTTAATTATAGTAACATCGTGGGGGCACGAGAGAACGGTTATGGGATGATGCCGCGGGTTGAACAGCCTTTAGCAAATTATTTATCCCCCGAATCGGCATCATCCCTTAAAGCCCCGGTGCTGCCCACTAAGCCGTGTAGAGACACATCATTGCTAGTGGGCAGGGCATATATGGCTGCAGGTCGGGCTGGTGCGAGTCTTCACACCATGGCTCTGCTCCAAGCGTACCAGGCCGACCTTCTTAAGGACATTGATGAGGGCGAGGGCCCAACTCCGGAAGACATCGCGGAGTTGAGGAAGGTCGCTGATTTGTCTCTCCGAGTCACCAAGGAGACGGCCCGCGCTCTCGGTCGCTCCATGGCGGCAATGGTGGTCTCGGAGAGACATTTATGGTTAAACCTGACTGGCATCAGGGAGAAAAACAGGGCTTTCCTCCTTGATGCCCCGATTTCACCTTCTGGCCTGTTCGGCGATGCCGTTAATACCGTCGTCGACAGGTTTCAGGAGGCGAAAAAAACAATCAGCGGCCTTCAAACAGTATCTCCCTCGCCGCTCAGTGTCCAAGAAGTCTGCCCCTAGTGGGCAGCCGCAGCCACAGCCATCCACCAGCTCCTTCGCCTATAGGCAGGCTCAAAGAGAGAGCGTTACGTCTAGAGCCCCCCCTCAAGGAGCCTGGGGGCATAGACGGCTCTCTCAGGCGAAGCCTCAGCAGAAGCAGGGCGACCTGAGGGCCGTCCTGCAGGCTAAAAAGGCCTCGTCAAAGAGATCCTAGCTGGTCTAGGATCTCTGCGGGCGGCCCCACCCGTGGTGGAACGACCGAGGTCGTCTACTTCACGGAGCCCGCAGGAAATCGATGTTGCTCTCCCGCCGTTAAACACGCTTCGGGACACATCGGTTTCCAGCAAAAGCAGGCTGCACTGTCCGCCCCACAGGCTTGCGGTCAGGCAGTATTCGCGTCCGCCCATCGAGAATCGTTTTCGGTTCAGCCCTGCCGGGAATCCGCTTCAGGGAGCCGAGAACGAATCCCGATTAATACCATTCAAAATGGGTACAGGCTGCAGTTCAGTTCCCGCCCACCCAGATTCAACGGGGTGGTCTGGACTGTAGTCGACCCACTGCAGGGTCGGGTATTGGAACAGGAAGTAAACTCCCTGCTGGCAAAGGAGGCTATAGATCGTATTCTTCCACCGGACAGGGAGTCCGGGTTTTACAGCTGCTACTTCATAGTTCCCAAGAAGGATGGGGGTTGCGTCCAATAATAGATCTCAGGCACCTGAACCGTTCTCTGAGGAGATTCAGGTTCAGGATGCTCACTATTCCCATTATCGTGAGTCAAATTCAATCCGAGGATTGGTTTGTCACGATAGATCTAAAGGACGCATAACTCCACATATCCATCCTTCCATCTCACAGGAAGTTCCTGAGGTTCGCTTTCGGGGGCGAAGCTTACCAATATCGTGTTCTTCCGTTCGGCCTAGCTCTCTCCCCTCGCACATTTACCAAATGTATGGATGTAGCTCTGGCACCGCTGAGGCTTCAGGGCATCAGGGCAACCACGTTCCTGGGAGTGGTGTGGGACTCGGTCACGATGCGGGCACGATTGTCTCCCGCGCGGATCGAGTCCATCCTGACCACAGTGTCCGGGATAAAGCTAGGCCAAGCCATCACTGTAAAGCACTTCCAGAGAGTGTTGGGGCTCATGGCAGCAGCGTCCAATATCATTCCATTCGGCCTGCTGCACATGAGGGCCCTTCAGTGGTGGTTAAAAACCAAGGGATTGAAGGAATACAAATTTGTTAAATGTTTAATTTAGGTTTCCACTCCAATGGTATAAAAACTGATACAATTTAGTAGACGGATTTTAGATGATTATTGAGTCTCCTTTCCTGATAGTCCTGTTTTCTCTCCTTTCAGCCTGGATGTTGAATCGTTAGGTTTATTGGATTAGCTGTCGGGGAGACTTTCACCTTTTGTCTTTAATGGCTCTGGGATGGCTCTTAGGAACCAGAGTTCCTGACCACTATCAGCATTTGAATAGTTATGCTGATTCAATTGGATTGGTAATGCCCTCAGAGTAGGGTGTGTTCCTACTTCATTTGCATGCTTTGTTTCAGAGGGACTCCACCCCAATGTAAACTCCTCCCCCTCTAAATGTATAAATTGCAAGGGAACATTTCCCTTAGTTGGACGAGATTGAGATGCTACAGCGACCAAATAAAGAACATCTGCTTTAAAAGATACCTCTCCATCTCCTGGTCTGCTCTTCTGACTTTTCTACACTTTAAGAAGAAAAAGTTCACAACAGATGGTGCCGTGACCCGGATAGAATTAACTTCACCAGAATCCAGAACTGGACCTCAACAAAGATCTCACCAAAGCTGACTGAGTTCTGACTGAGTTCCAGAAACTTCGACCTCAACAAAGATCTCAACAAAGAATGAACATTTCTGACTGAGTTCCAGACGGAATCTTTCGTACAACTAACGATTTGGTGAGTTTCACTCTATTCAAAGAACCGCTGAAGACCAGTACAAATTTTGCTATGCCTCTGCGCCGTCAGAGAAGAGTTAACAGACAGCTGTAGAGTTTGGTTAGCTAAGTTTATCCTCTAAAGTTTTCTGTTAGAGATGAAAAGTAATCCTCTGCCCAGACAGGGAAGATTTTAGCATTCAAGTTAAAATATTGTTAGCCTCTGTGCAAGCAGAGAAGAGGTAGTCTTACAGGCTATTTATTTTGGTTACCCTTTTAAAAGTTTTCTTTTAGAGATAAAAGTGTATCCTCTGTTCAGGCAGGGAAGTTTAGCATCATGTGCTAATGATTTGGTTTTA